CATGCCTGGGCACCCTCGTCACTATATTGGGAAGTACAGTCATTAGCACAGACCTAATTGGATATATTAAGACCTGGGTCCTGAAAGTCACAAGAAACCAGCTAGTTACAGCAGCATGCAGGCTTGAGATACTTAACTATTCAGATAGAGGCAGCTGCATGGCTTGAGATATGAACTCCTGGAAGTACGCTAAGTAGGGATTAAGGAAGAAAACCCCACTGACAGGCACACCAAACTGGAAGCAATAAGCATCTACCTGGTACACACTGATTTGGGAGTTGAAGATAAATGGTTTGTGGGTAATGTGGCGGACATGTGATACTAATTGGTGGTTGGGGAGGGATGTATAAAATCCAGGTTAATCACATGTATGGAAATGTTGATGGCTCTGGTGGGTTTTAGCCATGGATAAATAGTTTTAGTACTTGATGTTCTAGTCCTAGTTCTGATATATAATATGTATGTATTTATGGCACCATAAGTATTAATAAAAGTCTGAAGTAGGAGCTACACCCTAAATATTAAAAAAAAAAAAACATGAGTCACAATTCTTTAAATCAAAGTACTCAAACTCAAAGTCATAGTTCTATTGCTCAACAAGCAAGAAGAGAATGTGAGAGAATGGAAAAAATTACTAATCAAAGAGTATTTGCTTCATCTAACCAAAATACTCAAACTCAAAGTCAAAGATCTATTGCTCAACAAGCAAGAATAAATTGTGAAAGAGCTAATAATTCAAATAATCAAAGAGTAATTTCTCTATCTAACCAAAATATACAAACTCAAAGATCTATTGCTCAACAAGTAAGAAGAAAACATAAAAGAATAGAAAATATTACTAATTGAAGAGTAATTGCTCAATGGCAACAATGAGAATGAGAATTACATACACTGTTATTTCAATCTGGTGTTCAACATTACCTTGGCCATATAGATATAGAATGTATTCATTGTAAAGCACTTCATTGGCTAGATGAATGTATAACTACATCTTCAAAAATAATGCCAAAATTTGGAAAATGTTGTCATCATGGTAAAGTTATCCTTCTGCTTTTTCAAGATCCTCCTTTTTAATTACACCAGCTTTTTGAAATTCAAAATGAGCAATCTAAAGAATTTTATAAAAATATATCTCAATATAATGCAGCATATACATTTACATCTCTTGGAGCAAATATAGATAGGTCTGTTCTTGGTGTACAAGCTCCATATAGTTTTCGTATTCATGGAGAGCTTCGGCATTTTTCAGGTGCTTTACTTCCTGATTCTAATGATGCTCCAAGATATGCCCAACTTTATATTTATGATCCAGAATTTGCTCATCGGTCAAGATTAAACCAAAACAAGAAATTAAGTTCTCAAACAATGTGGAAATTACAAGAGATTTTACGAAAAAACCATGCATTTTATCCTATATATTTACAAGCACATGAAATTCTTTCACAATTTTATGATGAAAGTGCTCCTGAATCTGACTTGGCAGTGCGTCTTAATTTCAATATTGAAACTGATTGTTATCAATATAATCTTCCTACTTCAAATGAAATATCTATTATTGTTCCAGGTGAAGAATTAGCTCCAAATACTATACATGATATAGTACTTTGATTACGAAAAGAACAACTTGAACGTATTCATGAAAGTTATCCAGCTTATCTACCACTTCACTATGTTCTTTTGTTTCCATTTGGAGAACTTGGATGGCATCCTGAACTTAAATCTACTAATCAAAATTATAATGAAGATCAAGAATTTGATGAAGATCAAGATGATATACATATTACACAAATGAACTTTTATTCTTTTTGTTTATTTTCATAGTTGATACATGGCTGCAACAGAACAAAGTCGACTAAGATATTTGCGTTTAAACCAAGGTACATTGTGAGCAGATGTTTATCAAGGAATTGCTAATATTGTAGGAAATACTGCAAATGAAGAAGCATCACTAAACAATTTGGGACGTTGTATAATTCTTCCTTCAACTTATATTAGAAGCCCACACTATATGTTTGAAGTTTTTCAAGACTCTATGGCTATAACCCGATTTTTTTATTATCCTGATATATTTGGAACAATAACAGCAAACCCAATTGGCCTGAAATTATAGATGAATTATTGCCTGGACAAACAGCTGCTGACCGACCTGATTTAGTTGCATGAGTGTTTGAACTTAAATGTCATTCTTTATTGCAAGATATTAAGAAAAAAAATTATGTATATACAATCAAATTTCAAAAGCATGGTCTTCCACATATGCATTTCCTTATTTTTCTTCAATCTGACAGTAAAATTCAAACAGTTGCTGATGTTGATCAGATAGTATGTGCTGAGTTTCCTAACTGTGAGGAAGATTCTATACTTTTTAATACTATTTTACACTGTATAGTTCATGGACCATGTGGTGCCCGTAATTCAAAAGCTCCTTGCATGGAAAACAACCAGTGTACAAAAAAATATTCAAAAGATTTTCAAAGTATAATATTAATGGATAATGGATGAACATTTCTAATTAATGGCAAAATTGTAGATAATCGAGATATAGTTCCATACAATCCAACTCTTAGCTGAAAATGCAACTGTCATATAAATATTAAGGTTTGTGTATCTATACGGGCTGATAAATATATACACAAATATATTTACAAAAGCCATGATAGAGCTACAATACAATTTGGTCATGATCATGATGAAATTAAACAATTTCTTGATGCAAGATATATAGGTATACCTAATGTTGTAAGATTGGCTTTACATCTTCCTGGAATGCATCAAGTTGTTTATGATCCTAATGATGATGCTGCTTCTATTCTTGCTCGAGCTGAATGTCAAAAAACTGTACTTACTGCCTTTTTTGAAACCTGTGCTACTTTGGAGGTTGCTCACCAATATACATATCAGGAATTTCAACAGCATTTTAGATAGAATAAAGATAGCTGAAAATGGACTATTCGAAAACAAGGTTTTGCTATTGGTAGATTATACTTTGCTGCCCCTTCTGAAGGAGAACGCTTTTATTTATGGCTCCTTCTTATTAATATTCGAGGCCCACAATCATTTGAACATTTAAGAACAGTTAATAATATTATTTATCCAACATTTAAAAGTGTATGTATTGCTCTTGGTTTTTTAGAAGATGATAATGAATAGATACAATGCTTAGAAGAGGCTTCTATTATGCAAACTGGCTCACAGTTGCAAACTTTATTTGCAATTATACTTGCTCAATGCAACCCTACTTGCCCAGAGAATTTATGGATATGTTTTTGAGCTAATATTTGTGATAATCTTGGTTTTTGATTATATCATGAATATGCAATTAATGAACCAACAGATATATGATTATGGACTTTTTCTTCTTGATGAAATTCTTAATAAATTTTCTTCAATGCCTTTTTGGGAGCATAACTGGAATAATTCCCATGAAAACTGTCTTATTGCAGAACAATTAGCATGGAATATGAAGAACTTCAAAATTTTGTTAATAATCATATTCCACAACTAAATACTGAACAATATGATGCATATAATAATATTCTTGGGTCAGCAAATTATAATTATGGCAAAATCTTTTTTTTAAACAGACCTGCTAGAACTGGAAAAACATTTGTTTACAATCTTCTTGCAATGAAACTTCGTAGTGAAGGCAAAACCATACTTTGTGTTGCTTCTTCTAGAATTGTAGCTGTTTTACTTATTGGTGGCCACACAGCACATTCAATATTTAAAATTCCCATTGATGTAAATGATATTTCATTTTGCTATATTGACAAAAATTCTGATCGTGCAGATTTACTCTGTCAAGCAGCACGTTATTGTGCTGAAGCTGTTGATCATACACTACGTGATATTCGCAATGACCAGTGACCATTTGGAGGAGTTACAGTTGTGTTTGAAGGTGATTTTCATCAAATTTTGCCTGTTGTCACTAAAGGATTAAGAGAACAAATAGTTGCAGCATGTATTTAATAATCAAAATTGTGGCAATATATAAATATAAAAACTTTATATAGAAATATGCAACTAGAAATAGAATCAAGAGAGAATCAAAACTATGCAAATTGGTTAATAGAAGTAAGAAAAAAAATTTTATTTTGCTTAAATATTTTATTTATTTTAAATTATTTAATTTAATTTAATTAAATCATCTAACTAAATAGGTTGGAAATGGAACAAACATGTCTAATTCTGATAATACTATTATACTTCCAGAACAAATGATAGTTAACTCCAATATAAATTCTCTCATTGATGTAACATATCCTAATATTCAGAATGAAATATTTACTACTGAATATTTAAAACACAGAGCTATTTTATCTGCTCGAAATAATGATGTACAAGAAATCAACTATGCTGTTTTGGATAAATTTCTTGGTAATGAACATATATTTTTAAGCGCAGATGATGTTATTATAGAGAAAAAGCTGATAGTTATACTTTATATTCTATTGAATATTTAAATTCTCTTAATCCATCAGGCATGCCACCTTCTAAACTTAAAATTAAAGTTGAATGCCCTATTATGATTCTTCAAAATATTGCACCATCACAAGGTCTTTGCAATGGCTCTCGATTGATAGTAACTTGCTTTAAAGATCATGTTATTGAAGCACGTATTCTTTGTGGTGACTATGCAGGAAAATTGGCTTTTATTCCTCATATTACTTTAACACCCTCTTCAACAGAAATACCATTTAGATTTCAATGTAGACAGTTTCCAGTTCATGTTGCATTTGCTATGACAATAAACAAATCACAAGGCCAATCACTAGATCATGTTGTATTAGATCTTTGAACTCCAGTCTTCACACATGGACAACTTTATGTAGTTCTTTCAAGATGTACTACTAATATAGTTTATCCGGAAGTACTATTAGATCATTAATATTTCAAACAAAAAACAAAATAGCTTTTTTTTTACAATTTTTATTAAACCTTTGTTTTTTGCAATAAAATAAATTTTAATATTAGTGTTTTGCTAATAATATCAAAGTAAAAAAAAATAGCTAATAAAGTATCTCTTTATAGTTTTTTTGCTAAATTTATAATAGTAATTTAATAACAATTATAATCTATAATTTTACTATCAAATATATTTATTTATTCTAATATTTATTAATATTAAAGTTTATAATTATTTATTGCTCTTATGCATGGCAGAGGCACGGGTCATACACTAGTAAAATTATTAAAAAAAAAAAAGTATTTAAAATAAAAAATTTTTTTGAAGAAAATTCATTTCAAAATATCATTTCCTTAAAACATGCCTTTTGCAAATATGTAAATATTAAAGAGAAAAAATATTACATGGGTAGTTTATATACCCAATTCCGTATGAAATGACTATTAACAAATTTTTTCTATAAGCTCATTAACGACAAATTTGAACAAATAAAATGTGTTGAATTAAGTAAATCGACTAATTCAGAAAAAATCCAAGCAGGCTTGGATTGTAAAATTATTGAACTTACTGATGAATTTGGAAAAAATATTCATTATCATCTTCATAATAATGAATTACAATCAAATGATTCTTACAAATATCAAAATGGATTTGATATCATTATGCAATCGGCCCGGTTAACTCCAAGTATTCAGTATTATGTTTCTAATTTTTCATATTCACCCAAATCAAATCACAAACAATTACTATGCATAGACATCACTAATTGGATTCAACATTATGAAAGTGGATGGTCAACACAAAAGCTTACAAATAGTAAGGGGAAGCAATTAATTATTGCATTATCAGATGCACTTTGGCACATTGATATACATAACTACGTGAAGTTTGAAGAAAGAAGCTTTCATATACCTTCTTTATTACTCGAATTTCTTGGCAA